TAGTTCCATTTACGAGCTCTATTTATAATTTGCAACAAAACCCAACAATATCGTCATGTTTTACACAGCGAAGTAAAATTAATAACGTTATTGGCAGTTTGGTGTTTCGATCATAATAAGCTCTTATCCGTTATGTGGATTCGAAGAAGCATTTTAACAACCATTCAATGGTCTCATATATAAGTAGATTAAAACAACGAAAGAATTTATTTTGATGTTGACACATAATCCTCTGTCCTGAGCATAGACAAGGTTATTGATGCCTGAAACAATGGCTTCCAAACGAAGACTGTCGACTTCTACCACTGAATCAGAAGAGTTCTTCTTTCGTTTGTTTGATAATCCTTCTTCATATTAAGCGCTCTAATCAAGAATCAATATGTACAATTAAGTTCTACATTCAATTTAACGAATATTAATATAAGCAAATGGGATCCATTATAAAAGAAATTTTTGCTAACAGAACAAGATGGCTGCATTTTTATCTACCTGAAGGCCAGCCATTCAGGTAGACATCCAACTTGATCTGTTCTGCAACATAGGAAAGAATATGCAGTGGAAATTGCGACAGAAAAACACATAAAATTCCTCGATTCTTGATGGTCATCAAGAAAATATAAAATTTGAACCCATGCACCTGGTGCCTAAAATTTTCAAGGGCTTTCAACTAGCATTCAATAGGTCATCGTGGTAGAGCAGCATTAAATCCTCACTTTAGAACAGATCGACTTTGAATCCTGATAAATAAATCAGTCAAAATATTCCATGTTCGTTTTGAATCTTTTCTCCCTAGTTCTCTTGAGCAACACAACGAAGAAGGAGTTTGAGGAAATTGCATCAGAGATGCTAATTGGTACGCTGTATTGGTAGAGAGTATGTAGTGTGCTTGTAGAATATGTACCACTTGGTAAAGTAACAGCTATTCTGCGATGATTATCAGATCAGTGTTTTATGATCGTAGGTGAGCATCGCGATGGACTTCGACTTGAACACTGAGAGATTAGTTTTCAGACTGAGTTCTGCTTTAGTCACAATGGTTAGGGCTAATTCATGCAGAATGCCGTCGGTCATTTCAAATCCCCAGTCGTTCTCTTCCTCTCATTTTCTATCACTGGTAAACTCGACCCCAAGGTACATAAACGCCCCCCCCCATCCCGGTTCCACTGCATCTATGAGCATCTGTAGGCAAGGGAGGCAGGGGAAGACGCCAACATTAGGCTTTCCGCTCTAGACACATTCGCATGCATACCGGCCACGTCGTATTCAG